AAATTTGCAAATTAAAAATGAAGATAATGATAATGACATTTCATTTAAAACAGCTAATAATAAAAATATTGAATGTAACACGTCAAAAGATTTAATTTCTCCAAAAATTTTTTTAAAAGAAAATATCATAAATGTGTATCTTAAATTATTAGATAACAAAAAAAAGGACTTGGACAATGTATATGATGTCAGAAAATTAACTCAAGGAAAATTAATGATCGGTGATTGAATAATAAATTTTGAAGAAAATGATATTTTAATTAACAACTCAAGTTATTCTGCCACTAAGGGTTTACTTGAACTTTTATTTAAAAAGGTACCTGAAGAAAATTTCATCAGCTAGAAAGATCGTGAAAATTATATTATATCGTGACAGAATGAGTTTAAAATACGTAAATTATATAGCCACACATTCTGGTAAAGGTCTAATTCCACATTATATGATTGATCGAAAAGACAAAAATATTGATTATATTTATTGGGATGATCCTAATGAATTAGTCGATCGTTTAATATTACTTTTAGCCTCTAAAGCTGCTGGAAATCCTAGCCATATTAATGAGATATTATCAATTATTGAAGAATTACGGGAGGCTAGATTTATTTATTAATCATTAATATATTTAATTTTATATCATTTGCAAGATGAGCATCGATATATTCGGTCGTCAGTTTAGGAGTGCAGAAACACCAAATCGCGGTCTTGCAGGACTTGGTTTTAAACTTACACTAAACGGAGATTTTAATATAGAAAATAAAAAATTATGTAACGTGGCGGATCCTGAGAGTAGTAACGGTGATGCAGTGAATATGAATACGGTAAACAAATTTATAGAAACTAAAGAAATTATAATTCACATTTTGTAAATCTTATGAAAAATTATAATATTCATATTTACTCTACTTATAGTAATTTGAAAGCATCAATTTGTGAACGGTTTAATCCTACTTTAAAAAATAAAATGTGGATGCAATTCAGTTTGCACGGTAATTACAAGTGGATAGATATATTATCTAATTTAATAACTTCTTACAATAATACAAAACATCAAACTATAAAAATGAAACCAAAAAATATAACTGCACAAAATGAAAAATAATTATTAATTAATATGTACAAAAAGAAAAATTTTTCTGTAATAAAGAAAAAATTCAAATTTAATGTAGGAGATTAGTGCGTATAAGTAAATTTTAGCATGTTTTTGAAAAAGGATATACTCCGAATTGGACTACAGAAATTTTTACTGTTAGTCATATAAAAAATACTGAACCCATAACTGATTTTTCATTACTTCACATTAATTTTCCCTCTTCTCACATTCTTACATTTTTTACAGTAATAGTTCTTCATACAATAATTGTAAGTCACTGCATAAACATTTCCATTCTAATTTGTCAGGTGAAATTCTGAACAGAAGATCCTTATCTATATCCCTCAATTCAAAACAACATATTGTTGTCCAATCAAAAATTTCTTGAAAAAATTCTAAAAAATGATTCGAAAACTTATAATCACTATACATTAATGAATAAATACAATAATCGTCGACTTGACATAAATTTTACAACATTGATTAACTCTCCAGTTGTTGAAAATTCGACTCCTGTTGTCAGTTGTTTTGTGAAAGATGAATTTAGGTTGAATGAATTTGAGAAAATTAGATGATTTTTTGGCACACAATCCATTTTAAACTTTTTTCAGAGTTCGACAAATTCAATAAAATTATGTGGCCCTCCCAAGTATTTAACAGCCAATTTTTGCTGTGCCGTTAATTCTTTTAAATATGGTAATAAAGTGTCGTTTTCACTAATAAACAATTGCCATGTTAGCCAATTGTTTATTAACAATCCACTAACCCAAAGTACTTCTTATAGGACTCGTTGGATGCGGAATTTTTTCAAATTTCATTTAGTAACGTCATAATTACGATACCTTTATTCGTTTATAAGATATGTAAATTTTTATTAACATTAATTAACCTTTGGAAAACATATATGTCAAAATTTTTTTTATTTACTTATATAATATTTAAAATTTTTAGTAAATTAATTAACTATTAAGGTCAATAAAAAATGATATATTTTATAAACAAATAAAGTTATCGTAATTCTAACGTTACTAAATAAAAGTTGACATAATTCCGCATCCAACGAGCCGTATATGAAGTATTTTTAATTAGTGGATTGTTATGAAAAATTGGCAAACATTGCAATTGTTTAGAAAAAATACCCTAATCCAAAGAAGTTCATATAGGGCTCGTTGGATGCAGAATTACGTCAGCATTCAATTGGTAGCTTTAAAATTGCAATAACTTTATTTGTTTGTAAAATATTTCATTTTCTATTAACATTAATTTATTAATATCTCGAAAATAACAAAAACGGACATCTCAATATTGTTTGTGGTGAAAATACACATTTTTAGCTTTCACAAAAAATAAATAAAAAAAAATAAAAAGGATCGAACTTAAAAAAAAAAATTCGAAAAAATGTTTAATTTTCAAAAAAGAAGGGTCAAAATTTAAATTTTTAAAAAAAAATTTTGCACCATTCGAAAGAACAGGAAAAAACCTTTCGAAAACATATGGGACAAATTTTTTTTCTTCTTTCTGTTTAAAATTTACAAGTGTCCAAAAAAAAGTAAAAAAAAAGTATGTGCAAGTTACAGCCCGATCCCATCAACTTTTTTTCACTTTGTTGGCTACTGGAATTTTACCCCATATATATAAAAGGCTCAGCGGGAGAATTCGATGTGAATAAGAGGTGAGCATTGAGCGAGTAAGGTGAAAGGGTTATGAGTAAACATTGTTAATTCAGAGGCACAATTACAGGATGTGGTTTGCTGGTAGCCCGCTGATGCGGGCCAAAAGGTCAACATTGTAGAAGAGCTCGAGGGCAAATACTCTGCATTGAACCGTATAATTTGCATGCTATTCTTCAAGCCCCAAAATGTGCACTCGGTACACGAGTCTATAACCCTCTCATCGCCGATCATCTTTAATTGTCTAATTGGCAAATAAATCCCGTTGTTTCCCAATGGCAAGTTCTACAGCACAATCGATATTATATGCCTTTGCGATTTTCATTGCTTATTCTAACAATTGTTTTGAACCAGCAGGTTTTAAAAAAGACAAAATCAGGAGAGAAACTAAAGATTTTGTGACCTTATTATTCAAAAGGGTTGAGCTCAAGTACTGTTGTTAACCACTAACACAATATTCCATAAATAATTTCGTTTGGAATATTCCACGAGTGTTAATATATATTAAGTCAAATATAGCCAAACTTTGTAATTCGATTCAATGAACTTTTTTGGTCATATCGTTTTGAAGGAATATATCGTCAAATCGACACACCTCTCCTGAACAAATTCATAAATCATTAAAATGGTTACTAAATATTATGGTTGCATCTTCTTAATAGTCAAATGTAATTTTCCAGAAAATACCAACTACTGCCTTTTTCAAAATATCGATGAAAGCATTATTTTTTAATTGGAAAATATTGTCTCGGTAATATGCACGCTGTGGATACCAATATTATTCGTACTAATTCAAATAATTATTTCAGCTTAAAATATATCAAATAATAAAGAAAACCAACATTTACGAAGTATGAACAAAACAATTTAATGTACAAAATTTCGATTTCTAAATAAGGTCAAAATTAAAAATAATTAACCGTTATGGGACTGAGGAAAAAAACACCTTCTATGGACGGACGAGGCACCCAGGTTTAATTTATGTTTAATGTTTGTTTATGTATAATTTATTGAAGATTTTGTATCAAAATAAGCAGTTCAATTAACTTTCAGTTTAGTGGATCTTTTAATAAAAGTAATAATCACATAATATGATTACAGTGTAAAAAAATCTTATTTAAAGGCTGAAAAGAGGTCTTATTTTAAGAGGCAACATTATTAAGACAGCTTTGCTGAATTTACGCAATACAATTTCCATTATAACTACTAGCGCTGATTTTAAGACTCATCTTTAAATAAGATTTTCTTTTTACTGTGTACATAAACATTGCAAATAAAAATTATCATTATTAGTTGATTATTAAAAAACTGTCCATTACGTATTAAGTATTTTGTATGTATTCACAATTTCATTGATCTTTCATTGAATAGTATCCGTATATATACTATTTGCTAGATTGCAAAACAGGTACATATTTAGGAAGATTATTATTATTTAACTACAGTAACTAAAATACATATTTTATAAAAAAATTATGTGCATTACTATAAAAATTAATAAAAATTCTTAAATGTAATTTTTCATAATTTTTTAATAGAAATTTCTACATTTATCTGCATGAAATGTATTGAGGTAACCGGGTACTTTGTTCGCCTTTTAAGGGTGAAGAAACTTTGTTTATTATTTACGAATAAATAAATAAAAATCGGACAAGTGCGAGTTACACTCGCATTAAAACCGAGGGTTCCGTACCCTTAAACCTAAAATTTAAGGGGTTAAAGTGTGAAGGCATGTGGAAAAATTCCAATTTTGCTTAATTTTTCCTGTAATGTGAGCATAAAAACACATAGATAGACACATAGTCACATATAACGAAAATTATCAGTTTTTCCTTAAAAACGCTATGATTATCAAACGTCAATTTTAAAAAAGTACTTGGAACATCAGAAACTGTTTCATCAACATGTAAAAGGATACATATGCGGTTGGAACAATTGTAAAAAAGTATTTAAAACAGAAAAATGTTTCAAAATGCATATACATTGGAAACACAATTTCAGGAATCCGTGTAATATATATCAAAATGATAGACAACATTTAGGAAATAAAAATGCTACTTTTAATAGCACTGTTTCATTACGTTCAAAGAAGTACAATAACTATCATTCTTTTTTAAAACATTTAAAATGTCATTTAATATGCAACATTAATCAAAAATTTAACTCGACTCAAAATGAACTTTTTTTTTAACATCACTAACTACTTTTCATAAGTAATGGAAACATTTGTTTTTTCCAGGATGTTGATGGACATTAATCCACAAACAGGACACAAGAGAGGCAGAAAAAATAAATAAAAAAAAACGGAAGAGGATTCAAAAGTGATCAGGTTAATTGCAAATATTGTCAGTTTTAATTCATAAAAGTGATTTTCTTGAAACTGAAATATTATAAAAGATATACCTCTGCCTTTCTTTAAGAAATATACTTAAGTATTTTAATATTAATAGAACTCGAATAGAATTATTTTTATGTCGTTTTGTAAATAAATTTAACTTTTTATGTAAACTTTTATTTATTTATAGCCTTTATTTATCAAATAAGGATAAAATTTCCGATTAGTTTGAAAAAATTATTACTTAATGATAGGAAAAATGTTCGCAAAAATAGTCGGTATAATTTCCAATTTCTTCGAAAAAGATGATAAGTAAATATGAGGAAAAATATCCGAATCGTAGGGAGTATAATTTCTAATTTATTCGGAAAAAATCCGACTCACAGGAGGAAAAATTTTCGATAGATTTGAAAAGAATGCCTATTAAATATCTGGAAAAATATCCGATAAAGCCGGAAAAAAATCCAAACCACAGGAGTATAAATTTCCGATAACTTTGGAAAAAATACCGAATACATATGGCGAAAAATATCCGATTAATTCGTAAAAAAATCCGACTTATTAGTAGGTAAAATTTCCGAAAAATGTCGGAGATAATTCTTACTATTTATTCAGAAATACAACCACCCCTTGGGGCTCCGTGCTGTCCGTATTTTTTCAGAAAAATTTCGGAAAAATTTTTTACAGTGTACAAGCATTACTGAAATTTATTAAATATGAGACATTTTATTTGTAAACATAAAAATAAAAAATTAATGCCTTATAGATTTTAAAATGCATTTGTTTTTATAAAAAATATATCATTCTTTTATGTACCGGAACTTAACAATGTATGTAAATTGTAGTCTTGGAAATAAACACTATGTATATATATATTAGATGCTTTTTTAAATTACTTAAATATAAAAGTAAAGACGATATTTGATCATAAAACTACAAAAAAATATTTTTGGGGTGCTGCACAACGGGAAAAAAGTGCTGCATAACCGGGTCAGGGACAACTTTGCAAATGACCTCATAATTCGTTTTGATTCAATTATTTTACAAAAATTCCTTTTGCATCATAAAGTAGAGGACTAATGTTGAGTTTCTACATGTAAATATTTTTCAGGCTCGTTAGTTCTGCTTGATAATCAAGTAAAAAAATCAGCAGGGTTGCTAGGGTACTGGAAAACCTGGAATTGTCAAGGAATTTTTTCTCAGTAAGGGAAAACAGGGAAAAACTGAAAATGTCAGTGAATTTTATAAAATATTGTTTCGAAAATTAATTTTCCGTATGTGAATCGCAAAAATTTTAAATAACCAAGTTCACAATACTACCATTATTTTCTATTGATACTATTCGGTTTTGAATTTAGTGCTTAAAGTTGAAGCAAATATGGTGCTTTTTTTCGTAATACTGGAACTGATTAAGCATATGACAAAGTGATATTCAATTTTGAATTTAGATTTTTAAGTTCAGACCTATTCTATGCTGTTTCCAAAAATTCTAAACAAAATAAAACTTCTGAATGTAATTCATTTGCCTCATCCCCAATTTAAAAAACCTCCAATATGATACAAGTGCGTAAAGTGAGTGATTATACGAGTGTGACGTTTGCAGCACGAGGCGAAGCCGAGTGATGCAAATCACACGAGTATAATCAGATTTACGCACATTTTTTGCAACACCCACCTCTAAAGTTAAGTACCTATTATGAAGAATTCCAACTCTCTGTTAGAATAATTTCGATTATATAGAATTCAATAAATCAATCGAAGATCAGGATAAATATCATTAAGCAGGAGTGTATTTTAAAAGTAAAGTTCGTTTTTTAATTTTGTGGTTTTGTATGGTCTAAAACAATCCTTATATTATGTGAGAAAAATTTCGATGCGTAAAGTAAATTTCAGTGCGTAAAGTGAATCATTTTACACACCCTAGTAGATATTTGTCCTAGCTATAATAAAAGAACTGGCCAGTCGTGCTTGAATTTGTTTTGATACTTTACTAGCCAGCTCGCTAAAAACTCGAATGTCATGTCACGCTTTTTTCATCATGTTATTATCCAGCACAACTTGATAATTATTTATCAATAGGACTTTTGAAAAACTAGTCAAATTAATTCTTTAAATATTTCGAAATTCATTTAATAATAAGATTTACTGTAGTAAACACGTTTATTTTATGTAATTAAAAAAAACTCCAATTATTATCAACAAAAGTTATTATATGAAAATATAATGCACTAAATATCGTAATTCGTTATAAAAATGTAATTTTTCATTCACAACACAGCCCCACAAAAAAAAGTGTCATGCGCGGCAGACCAGACTAGTCATTTCCTATGTATTTTGACGCGCTGAACACGAATCCGAAGTCCGTTTTGCTCCATCACGTCAGGATTTTTTTCTAACCTCCAAAAAGCTGTCGGATTTTGAGAGGTAGGCTATTTTTTTTAAAAATTGATGGAATTGCTTCAAACTTGGTATCTAGGGGTTTTTTGGGTCGCTGATGACGAATTTGAAGTTAGATTTTCAAAATTCAAAATGACGGCTCCAATATGGCGGACGAATTTTGTAAAAATTGATGGATTTACTTCAAACTTGGTATCTAGGGGTTTTTTGGGTCGCTGATTACGAATCTGAAGTTAGATTTTCAAAACTAGAAATGAAAATTCTTATTTACATAAGTAAGGTATTCACGTCTTTTTATGGTAGCGCACTCTTTTGTCCTCAAAGGATCTGTGTAATGGTTTTCTTTTCAAATTGGTGCCTCCAGGTACAATATCCCTTTTCAGCATCCAACAGTAGTCGGCCATCATGTTTACATCCCATCTTCCTTGATAACGACGCTCAAATTCTTTAAGATCTTGATGGAATCGTTCTCCTTGTTCTTCACTGTAATCTCCCAAATTTTCAGGGAATTGATCCCGATGCGAGTCTAAGTAATGCAACTTTATGCTCATTAAGCATCCTAACTTACCAAAGTTTTTAATCATATCACTAACTATTTGTTCCCAATTTTCACTCTTGTGATTACCCAGAAAATTTCCGACAACTGCTTTGAAACTAAGCCATGCGGCTTTCTCCTTTTTATTCATCTTGGTGATAAATTGCTCATCTTTTAACAATTTGCGAATACGTGGTCCGTCGAAAACCCCTTCTTTTAGTTTCGCAACAGAGATTTCTGGAAACTTTTGTTCCAGGTATTTGAAACAGTTTCCTTTTTTATCTAAGGCTTTGACAAACTGTTTAATTGCTCCTAGTTTCGTGTGTAAGGGCGGAATTATCACCTTTGAAGGGTCGATTAGGGGATTTTCTATTATATTTTTTGAACCTGGTTCGAAAGAATTCCTTTTTGGCTATTGTTTTTTAATGTAATGATTTGCTCGATCTATACGGTCCCACAAACACAGGAAACATGGTGTTTTTGTAAAACCTGATTGTTGTCCAAGTAGTATGCTTAAAATCTTAAAATCTCTACAAATTTTCCAGTTGTGTTCTCGGTATCTAATTTTATCCAAAACTAGTTTCATATATTCATAGTTTTCTTTCATTTCCGTTGAATGCGCTAGTGAAATTGGGCCCATATTGGCCATATTGGAGCCGCCATTTTAAATTTTGAAAATCTAACTTTAGATTCGTAATCAGCGACCCAAAAAATCCCTAGATACCAAGTTTGAAGTAAATCCATCAATTTTTACAAAATTCGTCCGCCATATTGGAGCCGCCATTTTGAATTTTGAAAATCTAACTTCAAATTCGTCATCAGCGACCCAAAAAACCCCTAGATACCAAGTTTGAAGTAAATCCATCAATTTTTTAAAAAAATAGCCTACCTCTCAAAATCCGTCATGTTTTTGGAGGTTAGAAAAAAATCCTGACGTGATGGAGCAAAACGGACTTCGGATTCGTGTTCAGCGCGTCAAAATACATAGGAAATGACTAGTCTGGTCTGCCGCGCACGACACTTAGCATTAATGCTAATTATTTAACCCGACAAAATTTTGAAGGTTAGTGTTTCTCTACACATATTTGTTATTATTTTGTTCTCGATGAATATATTTATTTTACAATTAAATTATTTTTATGGTTTAATAGATACGTTGTCTTTGCTATAAATTAATTAAATTAATATTTTTAAACCATTTATAGAATTTATTTACTAAAAATCTTAAGTGTCCAAGGCTACCCGAATCTCCCCTAAGCTAAAACTTTAATATAAAAATTTTATATTTGGTCAGGGAATTTTAAGAAAAATGGTCTGGAAAACCTGGAAATGTCAGGGAATTTAGAAATTACGAAACCGTAGCAACCCTGATATCAGTTTGTTACAAAACGGCATAAGTCATTGCAGCATTTTTTTCACATAGTGCGTACAAAAGGTTAAATAATATTTGGTGGATCGGTATTCGCTCAAAAACATCCTTATAACGTGACCAAAAGTTGACATAATTTTTATATCGCAATAGATAAAGAAAAAACAAAATGATAAGTGCTGCACAACCGGGGCTGCTGCATAACAGGGGACTTTTCCCTAGTACGATTTTCGATCAACATACGACAGAACACCCCCACAGCACTGAAAATTTCCTAAAGATTTATTTGCAAACTTCGGAAACTTTAATTGCAAAGTTTAGAGAAAATTGTATAAAGATTTAAATGTCCAAAATGAGTAAATGTTTGGCGTAAAACTTGACGGAAGATTTAAATTAAATTTTCCAGAAATTTTCGACGCGAAAATTGAGTGAAGATTTAAATTAAAGTTTCGTGAAATGTTTGGCGTAAAAGTTGACTAAAACTTTAAATTAAATATTTATTAAAAATTTATACCGAAAGTTGAGTGAAAATGTAATTTAAATATTCAGTCAATTTTTGTGACGAACATTTCCTAAAAATTTAAATTAAATTTTCAGAAAAGGTTGGACGAAAATATTTGTAAAAAATACAAAAATAATATTAGAGATAGATAAATAGATAGATCTTTATTATTATTATTATTATTATTTTTTTTTTTTTTTTTTTTTTTTTTTTTCGAAACAAGTTTAGGAGAGGAAAAAATGCATTTACGCACCTTAGTGTGGGACTCAACCACTCCCTGTGGTAATACCTTATCACTAAAACAACCTCTCCCAGTCTTGCTTTACACTCTCTATCCGCTTTTGCTCCTTCCGCCCTGGAAGGTGAGGAAAAGCGTGATTCCTTCGCTCGAATTGTTTATTGCCTGTCCTTTAGTTGTTCTTGTCCATTACCGCCGATATTCCTACGCGGTGGCCAAGAACGTTGTGGGATGCTTTTTTAGAGCTACCAAAATAGTTATGTTACAAGGAACAGTGTTGACGAACACACACCTACATTCGCCGCGCGCTAGCTAAAGACCCTAATCCCAGATAGTAAATTTTTTTTATTGATAATAATAATAATAATAATAATAATAATAATAATAATAAAAGCTGAAAACAATATCATTCAAAAGGAGGATGAAAAACGGACAAAATATCAAGAGCTTATGTTTGAACTGAGTAGAATGCATCCAGGATATAAGGTCCAATTAATTATTCTCATACTTGGCTGTTTAGGAGGGATGAGAACATCATTTGTAAGCCAACTAAAGAAGGTACCGACTTGCGAACATCAAGCAAACAAATTAGCGGGACTAATGCAAAAGGCCGTCCTTTTAAATTCGTTAAATATAGTTCGTCAACACTGTTCCTTGTAACATAACTATTTTGGTAGCTCTAAAAAAGCATCCCACAACGTTCTTGGCCACCGCGTAGGAATATCGGCGGTAATGGACAAGAACAACTAAAGGACAGGCAATAAACAATTCG